TGAAAATTCAGGAGTACCGATAGTTCCCCCCCCCCAACATTTCAGGGGTGTTTCACAGAGGCACAGGAGTGTAGGTGGAGGGAGGGAGGGAGAAACAGAGAAAGAAAGAGGAGCCATGCCCCAGATCTCAGCTGCTCCATGGTACACGGTCCCTTGAAACATTAAAGAGTCATTATTTTCTATGAGAAGACCTGGCCTCCAAACCTCCATAGAAAATAATGGCCTTTTACAATTTAAAAGGATGATGCGCTGCCACACAGCTTGAGGTGGGGACTGAAGACAGACCTGGCCTTGCAAGCTAGGTCTACCACCCCTAGGAAATAATGGCCCCAATAATTCCTGCAAGCAGAGGTCATTTCGGGGGGGATCGGGGGGGATCGCAGTTTCCCCGGGTGAGGTACGGGGGGCGGGGCACATGACAAAGCCTCGCCCCCTGCTTCCGGCCGCCCCGCTTCCGACCCTCATTCAGCCAGGAGGAGGCAGGAGAAGAGGGAGGGTAAGTTGCTTCCTCCCTGCCTCTCCCCACCCCTGCCTGCCTGGGGCCAGGGAGGGCCTTCGCGGGGCTTCCTTGCACTCCCGCCAGCCTTGCAGGTCCACCATCAGGCCCCTCATGGGGCTCGGCAGTGGAGCTGCAAGGCCAGCAGCAGCCAGGACTGTTGGGGGCGGGGTGTGTGGTCTTATGACACACTTCCAGTGATGTCAGGGGGTGTGGCCTTATGACACACTTCCGGTGATGCCAGGGAGTGTGGCATATGCTAATGAGTTATGCTAATGAGTTCCCCTAGCTCTTTTTCTATGAAACGACCCCTGCCTGCGAGCATTAGATTTGGCCTCTCTACCACCCCTAGGAAACAATGGGGTCATCATTGCACAAGCCGTTTAATGACCGGCTCAGCAAGATACCTCTCCTTTTCGTTCTGCCAAAAAGGCAGATCCAAGACAGTCATTCTCCCCATTCTTTTCCTACTGCTGTTTCTTCCTTGCTCTTCGTGCCATGGATTTGCACACACATCGATTTGGTTGACAGAACTCTTAAGTCCCAAATTGTACTCTGGGCCAACCCACATCGTGAAGGTTTTGCAGGTCATGTTGAGTCATGATTTACATGTGAGCAGAGCCAGTTTAACATGCTCAAAGCTACTTTTTTTTTAAAAAAAATCAGACTTATTTTGATAGCAGGAATAGGTCACAAACACAGGAAGGCACTTTATATTGACTCAGAACATGGATCTGTCAAGACCAGTATCGGGGATGCTCAAACATTTGCTGGTCACGAGCAAGGAGATAACCCCCCAAGGACTGTTCTGCACCCCACAAGGGCCCAATCCTGTTCAGGCTACTCCTTACCCAACACTGCCCCCACACCTTCCCCTTCCCTGCAGTTCTGCAGTTCTGCTGCCACTCAAAGCCAACTAAAGAAGGCAGAAAAATACGGGGCTCAGCCTGCAGCATCCCTAGTCAGTATTGCCTGCTCGGGCTGGCAGCAGCTGTCTGGAGTCCCAAGCATGGGACTTTCATACCTCATTATACCATAACCTGAAAATGTCAGGGATTGAACCTGGGTTCTTCTTCGTGCAAAGGAGATGCTGAGCCACGTCCCCTCCCTCTAAGCAAGCAGGTTCAAGCAAAGAGGGATACAAACCGTCATGGATTAAATGTCTAATCCGCCTTTTATGTGCATTCAAACTCGGACCAAAGACAGGGATCGTCAAATAATCCCCACTTTGTTTCTTTTCGTATTCATCGATGCGTTTTCTCAACAGTTTTGCTTATGTGTTCATATTGCGTATACATGTTGTATAATTCTGGCAAGCTGGTATTTTCATGTGCAGTTTGCGCTATTTAGATGCATAATACCGATCTGCCGATGCTGGTGCATACTTTTTACTGGGGAGCATTTGGTGCAAGCATTCAGTGCAAGTCTGCAGTTTACCCGTCTTCCAGTGCCTGGGGCGGTGGCTATTTCAAGGTGGGAACCAACGGCCCCCCTCAGACCTTGCTCACTTTCCTGAAAGAAAGGGTGCGCACCACACTGGGGAATGGTGCTCAGAAGAGCCACAGAGGGCTCCCTGTCTCATTGCTCTAGTCTAACCATTACATCATGCTGGTGTAATAATCCAAATTCTTTGCCAAGAACAGCTCCACTCTGTAAACTGGATCAGAGTAACCACTTTTGAACTGCACTATAATTCTTAACAATCTTGTGCCGTGTGTGTGCATGTGTATAAAGTGTCATCAAGTCACAGCTGACTTATGGAGACCCTGTAGGGTTTTCAAGGCAAGAGACGTTCAGAGGTGGTTGGCCATGGCCCGCCTCTATATAGTAACCTTGGACTTCCTTGGCGGTCTCCCAGCCAAGTACTAACCAGGGCTGACCCTGCTTAGCTTCTGAAGAGGACTGAAGAGATCGGGCTAGCCTGGGCCATCCTGGTCAGAGCCTTGTGCAGTAGGTCCTGCTGGCTGTTTGACCTCAAGCAATTGTTGCAGTGGTGCAACAATAAAGTATCACAGCTTCGATTCACACAAGCAAAAAAGTGAGGTCGTTAACAGGGATTTATATGGGGGTCAAATAGGGTTTCCAGGTCCCTCCGGGAGGCTGACAGGGGATGGTGGGTGGGCTTGCTGGGAGCTAGGAGTTTCATTGCATATTTCAGCGATGTGCCCACATGACTTCCAACGTGACCTGGAAGTGACATAGGCACGTCAGGCCGACACTCTGGTTTTTGAGCAAAAGCTCTATGGTAGAATTAGCTTCTACCATAGACATACATAGTCATGTATGGCTGCGAGAGTTGGACAATAAGGAAGGCCGAGCACTGAAGAATAGATTCTTTTGAACTATGGTGCTGGAGAAGACTCTTGAGAGTCCCTTGGACTGCAAGAAGATCAAATCAGTCAATCCTAAAAGAAATCAACCCTGACTGTTCCCTGGAAGGCCAGATAATGAAACTGAAGCTCAAATACTTTGACCACCAAATGAGAAGGGAGCAGTCACTAGAGAAGACCCTGATGCTGGGAAAGATTGAAGGTCAAAGAAGATGGGGACGGCAAAGGATGAGATGG